GTTGAAAGTCTGTATGGCTTGTAGACCTTAAACCACTAATTGACTGCTGCATAAAAACTTACTTGACAGGATCTACTAAAAAGCAGAACAGAAAAAAAAATTTCTTGAAAATAATTATTCTCATATTAACTTTAAACAGTCACTTTTTGCAGTTGTGCATAAAACCTCTTTACAACAGAGGCACTCTGTTTAAAGGTTTAAAAATATTCTCCTAAATGACCAAGAATTTTTAAGATTTCATGACCTGTGGTTCTTCATATATATGTGTGTGTGTATATATATATATATACACACACATTTATAAATCTCTTTACGCTCTCTTAATAGACTGACTGCAATGTTCAGACCCTTGAGCAGCACTGAATTTTAAAAACACATAGACACACAAATCTGTAGTGGAAATCACTGCATGAGCCCAGGAAGGCTGCACTCTAATTCGCAAGGGGTCATTCAGCATATTCTTGCACCTGATGCCCTTTCTGATGCAACCCAGTCTCCTCCCAGGATTAAACCAGGAATCTTTTGCTTGTTTGGCAAATGTGCAAACCACTATATTATAGAGCCACATATAGAACATTTCTGAAAACCATACTTTATCATTGCTTACAAAAATTAAATTATGTACAGTTTTATTTCATTTATATTAATATTATTATTTATATAGCACTAAATCACAACAACAGTCACCTCCGGGCGCTTTACATTGTAAGGTAAAGATCCTACAATCAGATGACCCCCCTATGAGTAGGCACTTGGCAACAGTGGGAAGGAAAAACTCCCTTTTAACAGGAAGAAACCTCCAGCAGAACCAGGCTCAGAGAGGGACAGCAGCCATCATCTTTCATTGGTTGAAGGTGAGGGGAGGAAGACAGGACAAAGACAAACAAGTACCACGCAAAGAAAACCATCTGTACCTTCCCCAGGGCTGAGCTCATTTAAGGTGGAGTGTGGGATAGTGGAAAATCAGCCTGTGGACTGAGAAATCAAGATGTTAAATATTAAACTGCAAGTCTTCCAGGCAAAAGAGTATAGGGGCCATCCAGATTCTTATCTTTGTGTTATCTTATTCCAATCCCAATGTGTCCAACAGCTAACGCTTGGATGGAATTTGATCATGCGACAGGAGAAAGATCCACAGCAGCAAAACAGAATGACTGAAAAAAGAAAAATAATCAAGGTACTGCAACAGCCGAGTCAAAGTCCAGGCTTGAACAAGACTGAAATGTTGTAGTGAGACCTTAAGAGAGGTGTGCATGAATGAGCCTTAATGAACTAAAGGAACACTGTTAACAAGAGTGAGCCAAAATTCCTCCACCATGACGTGAGAGACTGACAAAAGCAAGAAGAGAATAAATACTTCAGGTTATTGTAGTTGATTCTACAAGACGATGAATTATGGGGTGTACTCTGCTTTTTAACAGGGCTACACAGACACCAATACAATCTTTGTTTTTCATGTGACTTTAAATGTGACAAAACAACTATAAGGTAAAAACTAATCTGAAATGAAAATATAGCTAAACTAATACTTTTTAATTGGGTTGCACTGCATAATGAACATTCACATTTGATGTCATGATCTCAGCAAGCCATTTGAAAGTCTATGTAAAGTTACAAGCAGGAAGGCTTTGCTCTTATATATTGCTGGTTGGACATGGTGCATTATGACTTTAACTTAGCTCTGAAAGGTCAGGTAGTCATCGTACATATTTGATATTATATATATATATATATATATATATATATATATATATATATATATATATATATATATAAACACCCAGCACGCCCCTGCGGGCGGTTTATCCTTCAAGCTCGGGTCCTCTACCAGAGGCCTGGGAGCTTGAGGGTCCTGCGCAGTATCTTAGCTGTTCCCAGGACTGCGCTCTTCTGGACAGAGATCTCCGATGTTATTCCTGGGATCTGCTGGAGCCACTCGCCTAGCTTGGGAGTCACCGCACCTAGTGCTCCGATTACCACGGGGACCACCGTTACCTTCACCCTCCACATCCTCTCGAGCTCTTCTCTGAGCCCTTGGTATTTCTCCAGCTTCTCGTGTTCCTTCTTCCTGATATTGCTGTCATTCGGAACCGCTACATCGATCACTACGGCCGTCTTCTTCTGTTTGTCTACCACCACTATGTCCGGTTGGTTAGCCACCACCATTTTGTCCGTCTGTATCTGGAAGTCCCACAGGATCTTAGCTCGGTCATTCTCCACCACCCTTGGGGGCATCTCCCATTTTGACCTCGGGACTTCCAGGTTATACTCGGCACAGATGTTCCTGTACACTATGCCGGCCACTTGGTTATGGCGTTCCATGTATGCCTTGCCTGCTAGCATCTTGCACCCTGCTGTTATGTGCTGGATTGTCTCTGGGGCATCTTTACACAGCCTGCACCTGGGGTCTTGCCTGGTGTGATAGACCCCAACCTCTATGGATCTTGTGCTCAGAGCTTGTACTTGTGCTGCCATGATTAGTGCCTCTGTGCTGTCTTTCAGTCCAGCTTTGTCCAGCCACTGGTAGGATTTCTGGATATCAGCCACCTCCTCTATCTGCCGGTGGTACATACCGTGCAGGGGCCTGTCCTTCCATGATGGTTCCTCGTCTCCCTCCTCTTTCTTGGGTTTCTGCTGCCTGAGGTATTCACTGAGCACTCGGTCAGTTGGGGCCATCTTCCTAATGTATTCTTGGATGTTCGTTGTCTCATCCTGGACTGTGGTGCTGACACTCACCAGTCCCCGGCCCCTTCCTTCCGCTTAGCGTACAGCCTCAGGGTGCTGGATTTGGGGTGAAACCCTCCATGCATGGTAAGGAGCTTTCTTGTCTTTATGTCAGTGGCTTCTATCTCCTCCTTTGGCCAGCCTATTACCCCAGCAGGGTACCTGATCACGGGCAGGGCGTACGTGTTGATGGCCCGGATCTTGTTCTTACCATTCAGCTGACTCCTCAGGACTTGCCTGACCCTCTGCAGGTACTTGGTGGTTGCAGCTTTTCTAGCAGCCTCTTCATGGTTCCCATTCGCCTGTGGGATCCCCAAGTACTTGTAACTGTCCTCTATGTCTGCAATGTTGCCTTCTGGTAGTTCAATCCCCTCAGTTCTGACTACCTTCCCTCTCTTTGTTACCATCCGACTACACTTCTCCAGTCCGAACGACATTCCAATGTCATTGCTGTATAGCCTGGTAGTGTGGATCAGTGAATCGATGTCTCGTTCACTCTTGGCATACAGCTTGATGTCATCCATGTACAGGAGGTGGCTGACAACTGCTCCGTTCTGTAGTCGGTATCCGTAGCCAGTCTTGTTAATGATCTCACTGAGGGGGTTCAGGCCTATGCAGAACAGCAGTGGGGACAGAGCATCTCCTTAGGAAGATCCCGCACTTGATGGTGACTTGTGCTATGGGCTTGGAGTTGGCCTCTAGTGTTGTACGCCACATCCCCATTGAGTTCCTGATGAAGGCTCTTAGGGTCCCATTGATCTTGTACAATTCTAGGCATTCCAGTATCCAGCTGTGGGGCATTGAGTCATAGGCCTTCTTGTAATCAATCCAGGCAGTGCACAGGTTGGTCAGTCTGGTCTTGCAGTCTCGGCTGATTGTTCTGTCTACCAGTAGCTGGTGTTTTGCGCCTCTGGTATTCTTGCCAATTCCTTTCTGTGTCCCGCTCATGTATTGACCCATGTGCCTGTTCATCTTAGCCGATATGATGCCTGACAGGAGCTTCCATGTAGTACTGAGGCAGGTTATTGGTCGGTAGTTGGAGGGGACCGGTCCCTTCTTGGGGTCCTTGGGGATCAGGACCGTCCGACCTTCAGTTAGCCATTCCGGGTGTCTCTCGTTAACTAGCAGCTGGTTCATTTGTGCTGCCAGACGCTCGTGGAGTGCAGTCAGCTTCTTCAGCCAGTAGGCGTGAACCATGTCGGGCCCTGGTGCTGTCCAACTCTTCATACTGGAGACCCTTTCTTGGATATCTGCCACTGTGATGGTTACTGGACCCTGTTCAGGGAGGTCGCTGTGGTCAGCCCTCAGATCCTCTAGCCACTGAGCATTGCCGTTATGGGTTGCATCCTTCTCCCATATGCTCTTCCATATATATATATACATATATATATGTATATATATATATACATATATATATACATGTATATATATATGTATATATATATATATATTATATATATATATATATATATATATATATATATATATATATAAAGTGAACCTGCTACCTCCCTAAAAAAAACTAATCCCACATATAATATTTTTATGTTTTGGAGTCATTTTGTAATTGCTCCTCAGTTACAAGATGCCAGCCTATTCGGGAGGTATGTTGTCCTCAACCTATAGTCAGTACAGTATGTGTTTAATCAAAAACAGTACTCTACATACTCTCAGGTGTCATGTTTTGTAGAACTGTGGTCTGCAGTGGCTGCTAGAGCAGCACTGATCTCTGTGATGTGGACTGTGTTACTTATTATGGCATACTGCGGCATCCGTCAGCCGTTTCTGAATGTAGAAACGCGTTCAAAGTGTCAGAGTGAACGAGAATAACCAGCTCGTGTAAAAAACAGCCAGTTGTCGTGACGATTTTGGGTTTGAAGTCCTCGTGCCTTCATTGTATGTCATAATTTCTCATGGCATGCAAATTCACACCCCACATTCAAATAAAACCACAACCACCACACGGGGGGTAACAGTTTACAACCCACACATGAAAAACAAAACTGTGTAACATTTGTGATGTAAGGGGCACAAAACTTCAAGAATAAATTTAGAACCCATTCGTCCTTCAGTTGTGTGATTTACTGACAAAAAGTAGTAAGCTGATGTTGTATCACATATATTTCAGTATCCCTTAATTAAACCTTTCAACATTTACTACACAGTGTTTACTATTAATAGTATTAACCTATGAATATCATTAAGTTCAGCAGATTACCACAGAATTATTTCAAGATTAAGTCTGACGGTATCTACTCAAATGTAAAGATCATCAGTTTCAAAGTATCCCCAAAGAACGTTTTATTTCTCAATGCAGATTATTTAACTCTGACAAACACACCACCTGCATGAGCAACGCAATACCAATAGAAAAGGCTTTTTTGGAGAAAATAAAATGATAAATAAATGAACAGTACATTTAAATCAATAACATTGTTCTCAAATACAGCAGTCTTAATTAAAACCATCAATACTGCATCAATACCATCAATACTTCTGAATTAGTTCAGTAAATTTGTTCATGAGTTAGTAACATGAAGGAGCAGCAGTCAAGTAGAGCTAAGTATCAGATCAAATGCAACATATTAGTAGTATAAATAGAAGGTTAACTTTTTTATTTAATATAAGAGTTTCCTTCTATCACCTATAAAATATGTACATCCTTTTAATTAAAAAAAAAAACTAATGGCCCACTTAGACAAAACAAAAAAAATGCACACTGTTTCTGAAGTCTCCTTCTTCATAGATGGCTGGCTGGCGTGTTCGTGTCACCCTTTCATTAGTTGGCTGACGCCGATTGACACAAACAGTGCTGCAGAGAAGAAAACAGACAAGCAGATATACCACTTACCAGCAGCTTTCACAGTAACATGTCCATCTGAGATTTTGTATGTGTGTGTGTGTGTGTGTGTGTGTGTGGGAGGGGGAAAACCTGTTGCTTTACCTGTTGCTTCTGTGTGCAATCTGGCGCCGTCAGCACTGGTCACTTTACACGAAACTAACGTTTTCCTGCCTTCCTTCTTATCCAGAGAGGATTCGATCAACACTGTACTTCCCAGCGGGATGGGACTTGGAACAAGACAAAATGATCAAACTCACAGTAAATGATCAAAGTAGTGCACTAAGAGGTGTTACTTTGTGTTAATTATATGTGTAATTATTCATATTTTGCTATGTGTTAAACAGAACAACTGGGCAGCCGAGCAAATGTCTGTTGGTCCGTGCTTGACCAAAGAAAGTGAACCGTTTGGGCTGACTCGGTGACACCGATGCTGCATATTTAATTTCCACAATGAATTATCTATGTGACATCATTCAGAGTCGATCTTCATTATACTGACTTGGAGCAGGGAGAAACCTTCATGACTTCTGCATGACCGCCTCAGTGATACTTCCATAAACCCTGCCCAGCAGCTAAATATGCTCCATGTTAACAAGCAGGACAACACACATGAAAACATCTAACATTTTTTTCCTTTAATATACTAAACAGTTTAATCCTCATATTTCTGTAAGGTGTGCTACATGTTCAATAAATATTCTTATCATGTACAATTTGCTGATTTTTGTTCTTGTACCTGCGGTAGTTGATGTTGAGGTTGGCAGTCATAACAGGTCCAGAATGCACACAAGCATGAGTTCCTGTCACGGTATCAATCATAGTGGCTATCGCCCCCCCGTGGACATTTCTGGAAGCACAGACATTGGTACATGAGACAGTAAAACTTATGAGATTTGACGGAACATTTAGAGTTAAGTCTAGCTAAAAATTCACAAGTCTTCCTTTATTTTTTCCCATTTATTTCTGCCACTTTGGGTTTACTGGAAAGCTGCTGGCTGAGAGGATGACAAAGAGAATGGAGTATAACAACGTGAAAAGCACAGACTTCGATAAGCTTGGACAGGAGTGTGTTATCTCACCCTGGTGGTCCCTCCAGAAGGTGTCCAGCCTGGAAAATGCACACACACCTTTGCTCCTTTTTGTTAGCAAAGATAACGTACTCAAATGCTGCCCCCGGGTCTCTGATGTTGCGGGTGAAAAGACGAGCTTTTGCCTGGATTATTTTGCTAAGGTATACTCCACCTGATGGGAAAGAACACAAGTGAACATTCAGCAGCCACGTTAAGCTTTTGGAGCTTTTGGAAATTCTCTTGTTCTTATTTCAGGTAAACTTTTGGGTCTGTATATTTACCTGCAGCATACTTCAGAGAACGATTGTAGCTTGGCAGTCTGTTCCATAGTCCACCCTGTTCCTCTCCTCCATCTGTCACTGCCTCACATTGGCTGTTATAATGTTCATACAGCTGCCTCATTTCTGTGCCCCATGAGGAGTTAGGAAGACTGAAGTCCCGGGGGTTGGATGAAAAGAGTGATGGAAGCGCTCGCTAAACAGAGAAATGAATTACAATGTCTGTTAGTAGCGAAAGGGTAATGACAAAGTGTGGATGTCTCATATAGATACCATATGGATGCTGCTTTAATATTTGTGGTTCTATTAAGTCAACGGGGGTCATGAAAACATTTTCCAAATGAGCGAAAAGTATTAAAATAGCTATATTTTGATATTGGATATTATATTTATTATATTTGATATTGGCAAACCAATGCAGCACCTTGATTCTTTTCTTTTTCAGCCATTCTGTTGTAGATTTACTGTTGTTGTGTTTGAAATCATTGTCTTGTTGCATGACTCAATGTCAGCTCCACTTTTGCTGTCAGACAAATGTCCTCACATTTGAATTGTTAATACGGGTACTGCAAGGTACCCAGCTCCTGTGGCTGAAAAGCAAGCCCAAATCATCACCGCTCCACCACTGTGGGTTTGAGGTGTTTGTATTCATATGCTCTGTTTCGTTTTTACCAAACACCTCCACTTTGGTCTCATCTGTCAAAGGGACATTTTTCCTGATATGTTTGTTCAGGTGGTACTTTGCTAACCTGAGCCATGCAGCCAAACTCTTTTTATAAGGAAGAGACATTCACTTGGCAGCCCTTCCAAGCAAACCCTATTTGCCATTTTCTAACTGCACTGTTATGAACTTTAATATTTATCATTATAACTGAAGCCTGTAGAGTCTGAGATGTTGCAATTTCTCTGAGCATTGCACAATCTGACCTTGGGGAGAATTTGTTGTGATGTCAACTCCTGGGAAGACTGGATACTCCTAACCAGCAAAATGCCAAAACGTCTGCCTTTATAAAGATCTTAGGAATTGCTGATAATTTAAAATCGAATAAATCTGTTGTCTTACTTCCATTAGGAGAATTTGACTGATACTTACCCTCCTAATTCTGTTTGTATGCCTGTGTGTTTGAGGTGCATATGTACACTTGCATGCATAGAGACATTCTGCTATTGTAAATGACCTTATTGCCAACTAGTTGTTAGCACAAAGAGTAAAGAGTTAGAACAGGATAAGTTTCTTGATGTAAATGTGGAGATTATTATGATCTTATAAATTCTAACTCATATAAACTCGAATACCTAATTCCTATGGAAACAGTCAGGACGTAGATTTTAGTAGTACTTTTTAACAGGAAGAAGTACGGAAAACCTTCTTCACATGATTGTATGTTATTATATTTAGCTACAACACTATTATTTGTTACTGTTTACATGTTTGTCATAATGAACTTCATTTTTCACTTTCTTTTTATTGTTTTTCTTAAAACGTTATATAGGGGAGATGGAGGGCAAAAACAAAGCAGAACACAAAAAGAAAAAGAACTGAATGAACTTCATTTTTAATTGTGCTAACAAAATCATTTCCCAACTCTTCGATAAAGTGTTTCTTATGTTATCTGTGATGATGTTGACCTCTGTGGTCGTGTTGTAGTGACATGGCCTGCTATTTTAAGTTGTAATCACTACGTTATAGTCATCTTATATAAATGTGTTCGTTTGTTGTTGTTGTTTTTGCGACAAGCTAACAAACTCTCACGCTGGCCATGTGTTTTGTTTTGGTTTTTTAGCTGTACAGTCACAACACTGGAGAAACATCTGGCAGGAGTGAGGAGAACATGACACGGCAAACAACTCACATACAGCATGAAAAAGTATTTCATAAAATACGGCTCACAGATCTACCTACCACCATACTCTTCAATGAAACGCTGGCAGGGAGGTTGCTGAGTTCAGACTTCATGAATGCGAGTGAACCGAGGCTCTGAAAGCCCCTGAGTATTCGACCCAGTCTCCTTGCCATCTGTAAACTGTCCCCGCGGTGATATCTTCTATATTCTGAGGTAGATAAATGATCCTGTAACTGGTCGTTGAGAGTTAGCTGGCAAATGCTTTCGTCAGTTAGCGCCCAAACACACTACGGTCGCTGCAGTAAACACTGGTCTGTTTTAAAATAAAAGTGACTTAACCATCTTTGACTCGTGTTTATGTTCCACAGAATAGGAATACGTCCTATGGCGGGTGTCACTGCTATTATTTTACCGGTGACTTTCATTTGTCAAGATCAGGCTGTAAACTTCCGGCGTGAGGGAGTTCTGCCGTTGCGTCGTTTGGGTACAGTCACGTGCCGTACAGATTCCAATATGATTGGGTGTCAAATAGAACTTTTTTTCTGTTCCCGTGGTAACCACCATTATTTTTTCTAACTTTTCCGAGACAAAAAGACAGATTTTAATGGTTGATTAAGTTTAAGTTTAATAGTGATTAAGTTAAAAAAACAAAACAACTTTATACATTTGTAGAAAACAAGTAAATAGTTTTATAAGAGAGACTTAGATCACATGGGGATTAGACAATAAAAAAATTAATAGAGTTATTATTATATATTATTATTTTTCTGTAGCTTTTTTACTCATAAAGCTTAGAGATTAAAGTACGTAACATTTATTTTATTAGAAATATAACTTTCTTTACTTACGCATATTGCAATATTTGGAACTTATTTCTGGTATAGCACATATAAAGTTTTTAATCTATATTGTTAACTTAGCTAATGCAACGCAATTTTAAAAAGTAATGTGCAAATAAAAATTTAAACGTAAGAGACAAGATAATAGATAATAGTTTACTATCTGCAACTGTTACTGTCCTACCACATCCCAAAGGTGCTTTATTGGATTGATCTCCGGTGTCTGTGGAGGCCATTTGAGTACAAAGATGACTTGAACTTTGTGACATAGTGCATTATGCTGCTGGAAGCAGCCTTCAGAAGATGGTTACACTTTAGTCACAAAGAGATGGTATTAAAGCACCCAAAATGGGACAAGAAAGTATCCCAATAAACATTTCACCACAATCGCCAATCCGAAGCATTGACGCAAGGCAGTTTGAATCCATGCTTTCATTGATCCAAACTTTCATGTAGTTAACACCAAATTCTGACCACATCATTGAAATGCTACAGCAGACATCAAGACTCATCACACCAAGCACCATTTACCAGGTCTTTTATCGTTCTATTTTTGGTTCAAATTGTAGCCTCGGTGTCCTGTTCTTAGCTGAGGGTTGTGAAGCCCAGTATGGTCAAGCAGCCTGGTCAGTCTGCTCTGACCTCTGGCATAAACAAGACATTTTCACTCAGAGAACTGCTGCTTGCGTGATATTTTGATGTACGTGTACAGTGACAATAAAGGGCTAATCTTTTCTCTTCTTAAGACTATTCTCTGTAAACACTGGAAATAGTTTGTGTGGGAAAATCCCAGCATGTTGGAGATTAGCTGAAGCCGGTAAAGGGAACTGCATGAACGCAAAGGTAAAGGTAAAACAATATCACATCAACTAAAAAGTCCTCATTTTTTCTCAGGGTCTGATGGAACCCAAATCATAGCTAAAATTAAGGTATAATGGACTTGTATTCAAATACCACTCCAAGTAAATTGTTATGTTTCACTGTGTAGGTAAGCTTGATGTGGAATGGGTAACAGAAATGTGATACTGTAAAGTTTGATTTTAGCCATACAGCTACCAAATGGACAGAATGTACTTTTGATTTAATGTATTTAATGCTTCATTTTAAACTTAAACACTTCTTTTATTTCCATAAGCTGGACTTGGAGTTTGGCAATCTTACAGGAGGAAAGGTGGACCTCTTTTTGCGAAAATGGGAAGCCAGTATCATTCCGAAGCTCAAATCAGTTGCTGCCCTGGAAACAAGAACCCCCCCCGCCGTGTGTTAACACACCTACTCCCACCAGTTGGTGCCAGTCGTTGCAGCCTTTTTTTGCACTGGTATGTATTCAGTAAAGTTCTTACGGTTTACCTGAGGAAAGCATTTGTCTACACCTCACTGAATACTTCTCTAAAAATCTATCTTTATCTTCCCCATCTCCAAGCCTGGAACAAGTATTGCATCGCTTTGCAGTGATCCTGAAGCATCATCCACAACACACCAACCCCAGCTGATATGCATCGGTGATCTAAAGAGGGCAACCAGGCAGTACATCATTGTTGCTAAGAATGACAGAGTAACCATTTCTCTGAATGATGGCCTGACGTGTGCTGTGGATAAGCTTTTCAAACTGTACTGGGTATGTAACTTGTCCTATCCAGCACCACTTGGCTCCGTCTTCACCTTCTTTGAGTTTGTCTATGACCTGCCGCTGTCCACCCAAAGGAAAACCAAAGTACTGGAGCTGATTGCACAGATTAAAGGATGCAAGTAAAATGTTCACCTGTCCAAAATGTAGAGAGTCTCTGTTCACAGAGGTGAGAAACCTCATTTGGCATCTTTGTCAAATACACTGCTTATCAGGACTGACCATTTTTATACCTATGCAGTGGAAAGGACAGACAATATGAACTGATTGGCTGAAATTTTTGATTTTCGTATTTAAACCCAAGGTACAAAATTGTATAACCTGGATGCTATATTCGCCAAAATGTATGTTTTTCTGTTCGCATGCAACTGCACATTTGTTAAATGTTGACAATTTGTTGAAGATGACAATTGTTACCTTTAAAATTTTTAATTCATGTATTGTCTGGATTATATCAGAACATTATATATATATATATATATATATATATATATATATATATATATATATATATATATATATATATATATATATTGCCCTTTTTTCAATTTTTTTGACATTTTAATGATCTAGAGAGATAGAAAGCTAGTCGGATATGAATTTTGTTTGATTTTGTCAAGTAGAAATTGTGATATAGCTTTGGCTAAAATTTAATTTAAAACATTTTAATTGAAAAGATTCTGACAGCTGTTGTTCATTCAGTTTGTAATGATTTATAATATGCCAAATAAAAAATGGAATTCAATAAATGTATAATATATACCCATCTTTTTTCTCCTTTTTTAAAAAAACAATTGAAATGTACACATTTTAACACATCTTTGTGTCAAAATAACACATCCTTGTGTTTACATTTTTTAACACAGAAGATGTGTTAAAGGAGTAGACACATTAATTGTGTTAAAACTGACACATCATGTGTTGTCCCTAATATGATGCAGCACATGTGTTAAAATTTAACACATGATGTGTCAATTTTAACACATCCCTTCTAAGAGTGCAGCTCAGCAGCTTCTGAAATACTCACACCTGCCTGTCTGGGACCAACAACCCTGCCACCTTCAGAGTCATTTAAATCACTTTCCTTCTTCATTCTGATGCTCAGTTCTAACTTGAGCAGGTCATTTAAATGTTTACATGCCAGAATGTTTTGAGTTGGTGCCAAATGATTAGCTATTCGGATATTAATAAAAAAGATAATAAGATGACATTTTAAAAGTTTGCAAGTGGGTGGAGGTTGAAGGAGAGGTAGCAATTATTTCTGTAACAACTTTCAAAAGAACAACAACAGCAAAACAAAACATTTAGAATATTAATGCATTATTTATAATAATAATTTGTGATTATCATATGTTTGTAATTGATTCAGTGTCGTTATATACTTTACAAATACAGGTTATTTTCAATACAAGGCTATACAAGTCGAATTTCCCAGAGGAACCCACCCGAGGGATTAATAAAGTTCTATCTTATCTTATCTTATCTTATCATGAAACCATAAGGAAAGGCATCTTGCCTGCAGATTAGCTGAAGGCGGTAAAGGGAACTGCATGAACGCAAAGGTAAAGGTAAAACAATATTTAGAAATGAGCAATAATAAGGTTGCGCTTGTTAACTTATAGGAACTTTAGGAACACAAAACGCTTTATTTAGTAATTGTACATCCATACAGCACTCATTAAACCCACAATAAATGCTTTTGGCAATCTAATTTCATACAAGACGTTTTGTAACAAGTTCAGTGTACTCAGATTGTACTTTTAATAGTTTCCTCCAAACAAGATCCCCTGTAAGAAAGTGTTTCCTCAGTTGTATCAGCACAATATCAGTAACATGCTCTGTCTTAACCTAGGTTCTGCACTAGGGGGAGTTAAAGGAGCATTAATTTGAACAGACGTGATAATTTAGGTTTTGCCTCTTAAATCTAAAATGTTTTATCATTTTGGCTTCCTTTATATTCAGAGTCGTATTAACTGATATATACAATGCTTTTACACTTTTACACACATTGCATCTATTTTCTAGACTGCTTAAAGGTCTGCTGTTTATGGCCCAAAGCATTAATAGTACATCAAATTTATAAAAACCAAACAGAAACTGAATAAAATCTGGGTCCGTGTGTCCTTTAAAAAAACTATCTGGTTTATTTTACTACAAGAAATTACAGGAACTATTTTAGCAAAAATATTGTTTCCACGATCATAAAACCAGTGCAAAATAACTGCAAGGTCGCTTTTTCATTACTGCCTGAGCTAAAATGAAAGTGTTGTACATTGTTACAATAATAAGTGAACTTTTGCTATTTTTTATTACATTCGAAAGAATAACTAAAAAATAGTAAAACATAATATGATAAAAGGAGACACTACAGTGTTTCACATCAGGTACCCAACCATAGCAGTTAAACAGCTTCTGCAGGGGTTATTTCAGCTCGAACACACTGTCACAGAACGCTCAGACAGACGTGGCAAACGTTGATATGAGGGTCACTTTAACCAAACCATAATCTTTCCCTATAACTAACCAAATAGTTATTTCTATTATTTACATTGCTTATTTCTATTGTTATATCATCATATTAGGCGCAACATTTTGAGCACATAGAATTTTTGTCGGATGATCCCCACATTATACATTACAAATACAACCTTCATTGCCTTCTTATGATATGAAATGAATTCTATTTCTCTATTCCACATGTCTGTATACTTGTTCTCTGAGTGAATGCACAGAATTTCTTTTCTTTTTTTGTTATTATTCCATAATAACCTTAGAGGTGATACAAAACTTGGATGCACAAATATTTTTCTGAAAAAGTTGGTAGTCATTGTTGAACAGTTCTGAGGTGACTTCACTGTGATTGTTGAAGATTTTCACACAACTTCCTGAAAAATCAAGAAATCAAAAGACAGTTTTCAGTTTTGCAATAGAGGCGTGTTAAATAGACTTGTACAGTAGCCCCCAGTAGTGATCTATGGTAATCCAATTTATTATTGACGATGCATGCTGGTGATTAAAATCTTACCGTCCTTTGTCCTTGGTTGTATCAAGAAAGGCACAGACTGCTTTATCTCTATTAAAAATCTCCTCTTTCAAGCTCTGAATGTTCTCCTGGGCTTTACTTTTAGCCGCTTCATGATTGTCTGAGACAATAAAAGATAATAACATATGAGAGTGTAAATGTATTATTTGAAGCTGGTAGCTTTGCGTTCCAAGTAAGCCCGTGTGGCTCAGTGTTGCAACAGCTGGTTTTACAGGTTTTTCATAAAGGAATGTAAAAATGAAACAGTTCTTTTTCTGCTTTTGTAGACAATTGGGGGGGACGACACCCAGTGCATTTAAAAATGCAAACAGAGAAATGCTTGTCTTATTCTCCTATGTGATCCATATCATTGTATAGAAGCAAACATATTTGTAGATCTGTCAGTCCAGAGCTCATAACAACAAAGCAGAACTTAAACAGAAAGCTGGCTTACCTTTGAGTTTATCTATTTCCCCAGTTGTACTATCCCTCGTCTTCTCCGCCTTCTCCTAATGCGAAAACAAGTGGAAGTCAGCAGTTACGGTTTACTGCGGAATGAAGCTCAAATAGAGACAATCAAGCAAATACTTAAATGTATTACAGTTAGTCACATGATCATTTTCTTTTTTTCTTTTTGTTAATGTTTAGACTGCACGAGCATGCAAATGAATTAAAACCTGTGGAGAGTCGAAGTGCAATTGTGTGCGTGTGTGCGCCCGCGAGCCTTGCCTTCTCCGTGGTACAGGCCGCCAGACTTTTACCCGCGTCCTCCGATGACTTTTCAATTTCTGCCTTTTTCTTTTTCAGTTGTTCCACCTTTGTGTTGACGTCGTCCAGCGATTTCTGCAGCTCGGAGATTTTGGCTTTCAGTTCGACTATGCCTTCCTCTTTCCTGGTAACCTGCGCCGAGTTCTCCACTAAGCGGAATTTTAAGTGACTCAGGCGGAATTCCTGATGCACGACCTGGAAAATCAAGACACCCATCACAACAACACTCAGGCCAACTAACGCCATCGCCAGCTTCATCTTGGTTTCGACGGGGAGACACGGGATACACGATGAAGAACTCTTGAGGGTCACTTGTTCATCCCAGGTCTCCGACCTTGCGCACGCGTCTCCTTACCAGTCCGCCGGTGTGACGGGAAACTTGCAGGCTGCGTTACCTGCTGAACTGGATGGGCGTGACAAACCACCTGTTTCCTCCTGTGGCACTCCCTCTCTCTCGCTTGCTCTTGTTGGCAGTCACTTAAACAAACACTTGGGATGTATTTGCATCATGATCAGCCTATCTCGAGCCTTTCTCTTATAGGCCTAACATCTGCTGTTTGCTTTCAACATAGTACACACACACACACACACACACACACACACACACACACACACACATATATATTTATTTATTTATTTTAAAGAAAGGCAGTTCACTATATTTTCTACAGAACTATATGTGCGTTTACCTTCGTACATAGTTTTTTGAATTATGGAGGTTATTATTTGGCCTACTAATTTATATACGTGTGTGTGTGTGTGTGTGTGTGTGTGTGTGTGTGTGTGTATACAGGCCTACATGCATGACCACATGCCTATTAAGGCAAACCAGTTTGCTCAAAGCCAACAGGCCCAACCTGTCTATCTTTAGACACGGCATGCTAGGAGAGGGCGTGTTTACTGACGAGCTCAGGAACAACCACAATGATTAAAGTCCAATCCAGGTAACAGCAGGTGACTCACTAATTCATTCACGGTGTTGCCAGGGTCACGCACAGAGCAACTTTGCTCGTGAACGTCGAAGAGGCCGCTCTGTAAGAAGATCCGCTCTTCACTTTCCACAGTAAAGGAAGGCTCTCAACGCCGGGCAAACAATGAAGTCATTTTTGCTACCTGCGACCATAGTGGTGTCGGTCGCTTTAGTGGGGATCATGAAACTGCGGAAAGGTGAGCACGAAAAATACGAGAAGCAGTTCAAGTTTCAGGATGTCAGACTGCGGGTTGCCTATGATGTGCTGGGAGAATATCAGAACGATAAGGCAGAGAAGCAGAACATGCTGGAAAAGGCCAGCACTGCGCATAAAGCGCTGGAGGAGGAGGTGAACGAGCTCCAGACCGACGGGGACAAGTCAAAGGGAGATGCGAAATCCTGCCAGGGAGACCTGGTGAGTAGAAATATTTATAATTATTAGGTTCACACAGTTGTATTCCTTTTGTTTCTTTGTAATTCTTACGGGTAGAGACAGCTAGTGTAACTCCCAAAACCCGTTCCACCTGTTGAGGAGCATAGGTGTACTCGGGTGCACTCAGAAAATCAGGCTTATCCGCCTGACAGTGGACTTTATGCCACCACTAAACTGAAGCTGATTTCCTACATTACTGTACAAAATATCAGTCTTTGACATCCAGCACCCCCGCTTTTGAAGATTAGGCTTAAAACTTGATAAAGTATATAGATGGATCCCGTAGCTATGCTGCAATGGGTTTGTGATTTCACTTCCCATGATGCACGTTTCTTCTTCACCACATTGCATCCAATTATTAATTAATATGAGTAACAGCGTACATGGTCGTTTGTATTGGCAAGTTCCTCATATGTAGGCTACGTAAATTTACTAATGATGCAGCACAGTGTTTTGATTTATAGCTTGTTTTGTCTTCGTGGTTTTTGAGGCCGTCTAATGGTTAATGCAAGAAGAAACACCTGTAAATTCTTCATCATGTGAACTGTTCTGGCTCAGTCATTTCTGATTTATGATATAACCCAATTCTAAATCTTTCTGCTGCAGCAGTAGTTTTGGCCTGTCTGCCTGTGGTTTCTTCCTGTTAAAAGGGAGATTTTCCTTTCCGCTGTCACCAAATGCTTACTCAGAGGTGTCATTTGATTGTTGGCTTGTTCTCTGTATTGTTACAGGGTCTGTGCCATATAATATAAAATGCCTTGATGTGATTGATGTTGTGATTTGGATCTAAAAAAAAATGATGATTTTTTTTTTTTGTTAATTCAAACAATATATTATAGCCTCTGCTGTATATATTGCAGGCCCTATTGGGAAAGTTAGCATACTCCTTCACCCAAAGAAACAGTAGTGGATGGTGCTTTCAACTGTAAGAAAAACAGCATGTAGGCTAGTGCTTATGCTAGGTCTATAAATGCTATATATCTTCTACATGCCACATTACCAAATGGAAGTGCCTTTGCTGTGTAGCATCATTGTGCATGTGGCTGAGGAGAAAGCCAAGCGAGCCACTATTTTACTCCACTTTGGTTCTTGTGGGTTTTTTCTCTCCAAATCATTTATATTTACATACTTATCACATTCACATTCTGCAAACCATTTGTGCAAATTTGATCTCTGTGGTTTCACCAGTGCTTTGTGTTGCTGAGCTTTTTCTTTGCATTTGCAGAAGACAATAACAGATGAGGTGGCAGCAGCAAAGATACAGTTAAAAAGTCTGAAAGGTAAGTGATGGTTTATGAAGTCTAGTGAATGAAAGTAGTCGTGTAGTTGGAAGTAAAGAAAGTAAAGACTTTTTTGTATGTTTTACTAAGCTCATACTAGCTTCGAACCCATCTTGTAATTTATAACACTTACAGCTCACCAGGAAAAAGAGAAGACGAGCTGGACAACAGAAGAAGACACTCTGAAGCAGGAACTAGCAAAATACAGCTCAGCGTGCCAGTTCATAAAAACAGATATTCCAGAAGCTAGGTATGGTTACCTCTTTGATTAACATAAATCAGCAGAGCCTACTATTATATGTATTGTGATATTGATGCACATATTATATTTTTATTGTAATTTTTTCTGTTAAAAGAACTCTGTGTGGAATACAAGAGCAACCAAAAGCTGAAGCCCCCAAACAAGAAGAGGCAAAGGGCGAGGCCCCCAAACAAGAAGAGGCAAAGGGCGAGGCCCCCAAACAAGAGCAACCAAAGGCCGAGGCCCCCAAACAAGAGCAACCAAAGGCCGAGGCCCCCAAACAAGAAGAGGCAAAGGCCGAGGCCCCCAAACAAGAGCAACCAAAGGCCGAGGCACCCAAACAAGAAGAGGCAAAGGCCGAGGCCCCCAAACAGGAGCAACCAAAGGCCGAGGCTCCCAAACAACAAGAGGCAAAGGCTGAGGCCCCCAAGGCTTAAAAGGCTAAAGGAATTGGACCCATAAGATCAGGCATGGATACTAGTATCCTGGACTTGGTCTAATTTGGTGTGTGATATACAAAGCCTTCCCTGTAAAAGAGTTTGTCTGGATGGGAGAATATGTTCATTTAAAACCCATATATATCTTTCTCCCCTCAGTCATGTCGCTGACCTGTTACTAGTTGTACTACTCACTCTTCCAGCCTCTTGTTTCCATCCCAACTTTTAATATTAACCTTGTTTAAGAGGAACAATGTTTATCTGCTCTGGTTTAGTTGAATTTATGGCACAAAAGTAATGCAAAACTGTAAACTAACTATGTTTTGACTGATTGGTTGTATGCATGTAATATCTTGTAAACAGTATGCTTGAGTTTAGGTTTAAAAAATTTAAATGAAAAAAAATGAAATGCATGTCTTTTGGCATTTTCAAACAGTAGGGGGAATATTTCTGTAATGTAAGTTCAAAGTCTGCACAGCAGTCTTTTTTAAAATTAAGTAGCAGAATAATTACACAGAAATGCACTAAGAGTTATTATAGTGCAAAAAATCCTCAATTATATATGCAGGGCACATTATTGTTCTTAGAAATGGAACATCATGATCATTTGTGTGTGAAATGGAGTACTGTGGCATGCTGCAAATTTTGGTATCAATCAATATTGCCAATACCAATAATGGTATCAATGCTTTTAGATTTATTACTTATAAAGGCAGCTTATGGAGGGAAGAGCCACGTGTCAAGACTTTTGAGATAATTCATCATAAGTTTGCAATTTCTGAACACATTTTAATGACCAGTAAATCAATGATTTTTACTTTCAACATCACACCTTTCAGCATTTCATGTTTTTAAAAAAAAAAAAAAAATTGGGATACCTGAAATGAAATGTACCAATCTCTAAAGCACTTTGAGTCAACTTCTCTTGTTTAAATGTGCTATAGGCTATAAATAAAACAGATGTGACAACACAAAAAGGTTCAGATATTTTTATATTGGGTGTTTGCGGAATATTTACATTTTTTAAAAAGTATTAATTTGACACAATCCAGTCGGCTACATACTGAACTAGAGGATAGAAACAAGGTATTGATCCTATCGCGCTAGTATTAATATGATACCACTACCAGCGCTGGTATCGATACTTGCTGTGCTTGCTTTATTTCCAGGCTTACTGACCGCTCAAAGTGCTATACACCACAAGTCACATACTCTTATACAGCACCTCATTCAACAAAGTTCAACCCCTGTATCTGCTTTACATCCACAACTAATTCAGAAAAAACAAGTAACCTAACATCTCTGGACTGTAGGAGGAATACAGAGTACCTACACAGGAGAACCATTAACCAGATTCAAGATTCAAGAGTCAAGATTCAAAGTGTTTATTGTCATGTGTACAGAAGAAATGGCATTTCTCTGTGCAATGAAATTCTTCCTTTGCTGTCCATACACAAATACCAAGTTAGGTAGGGTTGATGGAACAAGATAAATAAGGATATGTTCATGGATGTTCAGGAGTCTGATAGCAGTGGAGAAGAAGGAGTTGTTGACTCGAGATGTTCTGGATTTCGGACTTCTAAACCTTCATCTCGAGGGCAGACGTGTGGTTTCTGGTGATCTTCTCCACAGCGGGTCAGTTGCTCTCCACAGTGCAGCTGTAGAAGCTGCTGAGGATCTTGACTGACATCCCAAATTTCCTCAGCTTCCTCAGGAAATACAGCCGCTGCTGAGCCTTCTTGACCAGCTGTGTAGTGTTCAGTGACCAGGTGAGGTCCTCAGTGATGTGGACACCCAGGTACCTAAAGCTGCTCACCCTCTCCACTTCACTCTCCTGGATAAACAGCGGCTGGTGAGGCCTCTTCTTCTTCCTCACGTCCACTATCATCTCCTTTGTTTTGTTAGTGTTGAGGGTGAGGTTGTTGTCCTCACACCATGACACCAGACAGGCCACCTCTCTCCTATAAGCCGCTTCATCCCCTCCAGTAATGCGACCGATCACTGCAGTGTCATCCGCGAACTTAAGTATGATGTTCTCTTTGTTGGAGGCGACACAGTCGTGACTGTACAGGATGCAGAGGATGGGGCTGAGGACGCAACCCTGTGGAACTCCAGTGTAATAATGCTGACTGAAGTCCTGTTGCTGATCCTGACAGACTGAGGCCTGCCAGTCAAAAAGTTCTGTAGCCAGTCGCAGAGGGTGGGGTGCAGGCTGAGTGCAGACAGTTGCTGATGAGTTCGTAAGGGATGACCGTGTTGAAGGCGGAGCTATAGTCAGCAAAGACTACCCTGATATTTCTCTTAATATCACCACTCTCTCAAAACACTTTGCAATGATTCGAGTAAGTGCAACTGGTCATTTAGTCATTTAGGCAGGTGGCGGGGCTTTTCTTGGGGTGAGGGATGATAGTTGTGGTCTTGAAGCATGTGGGAACGATGCTCTGACTGAGGGAAAGGTCAAAGATGGAGGTGAGAACATCAGCCAGCTCATTCACATGCTCTAAGGGCCCTTCCAGGGATGTTGTCTGGTCCTGATGCTTTGCGGGGGTTGATCTTCCTCAGGATTTTGTGCACTTGGTCTATTGAGACCGCTGGCGGGGGAGACAGTCGGGTAATCTGGGGTTTCTGGGAGGTCTGGAGGGTCTGGGAGATCTGGGAGGTCTGGGAGGTCTCAAAGCGGGTGTAAAACAGGTTGAGATCATCCATCAGCCTGCGTGCAGAGTTGATGGTGTTGGTGGTGGCCCTATACTCTGTGATATGCTGCAGGTCTTGCCACATCCGCCCGGGGCCAGCAGAAGAATGGAAGCCATCCAGCTGCTTTCTCTACTGCCTCTTAGCTGCTGTAATGGCTTTCCTCAGTCCGTACTACGAAGCTTTGTGCTCCATCTCATTGCCTGATCTGAATGCAGCATCCTCCACTTTGATCCAGGGCTTCTGGTTGAGGAACTTTCTGATTTGTGTGGTGGGCACAATATTGTCAACACAGGTGCTGATGTACCCAGTCACATATTCAGCATAGTCCTGTATGTTGACAGAACAGTTCTCCTTAGTGGCTGCAGTTTGAAACACATCCCAATCTGTTTGAGCAAAACAGTCCTGCAAGATGCTCTCAGTTTCTGGGGTTCTCTGGGGATCAAACCAGGAACCTTATTGCTGTGGGAGGACACTGCTGTTGTTTTAAGCCGACAAAATTCTTCCTTAGTAGATTAAAAAACACTGTGGGCCACCACCAATCACAATTTTATCCTGATCCCTATCAGTATCCTTTAAAATACCACCAATACATTTCAATCAGATACATTTTTTACAGCAAAGGTGCACATTATAGGTTAGCTATTTATAGCACCAAATCACAACAACAGTTGCCTCAACCAGCACATTATAGTAAGGTAAAGACCCTACAATAACACAGAGAAAGCCAACGTAATAACATTTTTCAAAACAATGAAATCGTACAATTTATATCCATGAGTCCATGAAATATTTGAAACATCTAATAGTTGGATTAACACCATTCTGATATGGTGTTAAATGTCATTATGAGCATCAAGAAGAAATACTTTTTGTTCAGAAATGATCTTTTAGTTTCTGATTGCCACCCAGCTGCAAAGAACCTTTGTGTGATTTTTGGCAGTGCTTCTATGCAAAGTAAATTCCTCAGTAAGCTGGAGGCTTACCACCCTTCACGTGACTTTGAGAGAGTAATTCAAACCTTTAATACTGCTTGATTAGACTGTTGTAATTCTCTCATTGTTGGGTTTGATCTAGGGTTGCCAACTCCCTGAAAAATAAATAAGGGACACCTCGTGGCCAGGGCCGGGCAACCCAGTTGTCTTCACCCTTCCCAGTGTGGTAGCTCTTTTTTTTGTGTGTGAAATTATTTTTTTAACCATTTGACTTGAATTTGATTTAAGCAGATGCATATTCTTTGTGATATGACCATATGGGAAACAAATGATCATTTAGCCATTTATTTTTAGCTCAAAATGACAACATTAACACAGTAAAACAGGTCTCTTTCTTAAACAGAAGCCTGTCATGCTTAACTTTTGAGAATATAAGTAAATCTTTCTTTAAAAGAACTCTGTCCTGCTTAACTTAAAATTATATAAATTAATAGAAAGCAATACAACAAAAATATTCTTGTAACAGTGCACATATAGTGCATTTAGTACAGTTGGCTTCAGCTGAGGTATTATTTCAGCTTTTCTAATGCTAATCAGCTGCTCCTGTTTGTAAACCCACTTGTTCCCATGATTACGCATCTTAACTCATCATCATTATTCATCTATGTATTACTTTTATGTATTAGTGATCTATTTGTTGTAATCATCCATCCTTGCAGTTGTTTATTACACAAAATAAGTTATATTATCACACTTCTGGCCACATAGCGCTGATATTCACTGCACATGCCCATATTAACCTTAACCAGAGGGTTTAAAAAAACAAACCAATGTTTACATACCATATCTGCTTCTGCCATGGCCTGGTGGACAAGAAATTGGTTAAGGGTTCCCCGAGCTTTCACGCCCCTCATGTTCTTCATGTGCCCACCATCAGAAGCATGCCTATGGAAAAAGTGCTCCGGCACAGTGCAGTGCGCTTTATAGGTGTTATCGTGCATTTTCCCAGCCCAGTGTTTTCCTTTTCCCACTCCTCCCTGTACTTTAGCAGCCTTTTTTTTTCTTTCTCTGAGCGAACAAACATTGCTGCTCTAATGCTGGGCTTACACTGTGCGATTTTTGGCCCATTTTGAGACGATTTTTGAGTCATGCGACCGATTTGGTGATCGGCCCGATTTTGGTCTTCATCGTGCGTCGTGTAGTATACGTGGGGTAACGAGAAGCGATTAACACCTCGAGCAGCTCCCGATCATCAATCGCTCGTGAGCCGCTCACACTGCTCACGCGCAAACAGGTAAACGTCGGTGAAAAAGACGAGCAGCACGGCTGTGCAGCGTGTGATCTGGACACAAGCGATGGAGGCACAACTTGTAGAACTTTGGAAAGCTCATCCGAGCCTTTTCGATGTGGCCTCACAAAATTATCACGACCATAACAACCGTGAAAATAGTTGGATTTACATTGCTGCTCAATCACAGCTGCCTGATCAATGTTTTTCATTAGCAATTTGGCAAAGTTGATGGTGGTGGTGTGCGTGTCTGTGTGAGTGAGTGAAAGACAGAGAGAGCGAGCGACAGATTTTCTGTTATAACCTTCATTTTATGGAGGCACAGTGTGAGCACTCAGGTCGCATCAGAGCATCGGGTGGTATAGTGTGAGACCTGCATCATAGCCTACGAACTTCTAACCCCTGCGAGTCAATCGTGCAGTTTGAGCAGGAGCTGAATAACGTGACTGAAAAAATCGCACAGTGTCTGCCCAGCTTTAGGTGTACTGTCGTCCGAGACTTGCACCGCAGAGTCGGCGTTTGTTTCCCTGTTGGCCATGCTTCTTGTTGTGGTCATCTGTTGTCTTCCGGTATTTTCTCTGTAAGCGACCTTTCCTCGACCAATGAGATGAGCGGTAATCTGAATTGTCATACTCGAATTGTCAAAAGTGTGCTGTCAGCTCATTGGTCACAAAGCAGGAGAGGGGCTGGGAATTATGTTTTCAAACAAAGCGTTAATTCCATAAACATTTATAGACTACT